GGCCATGTCTCTTTTTATAAATACTTTTCCTTTTTCATTTCTCTTTTCTTCACATAATGCCATCTACAGTTTTCTTAAACTGATGCTGTATTAACAGAAAAGAACATGATGAGTGCAAAAAAAAATAAATTAGTATCTATATTTCAAGTCAGATGTCCATTTCATACATCGTTTTCTTGCTAGAACTAAGAAGCGGGCTCAGTATCAAAATCGTATTTTTAAAACTATTTTTTAAATTGAAAATTGTATTTAAAAGTTCTTAGTGAAGAAGACAGGAATATGGACAAAGGAGGTAGGGCTAAATCACTCGATCTGTTTTTGAACAGTGGTTTGAATTCTTAAATAATGATGCAGTATTTATTGTTCACAGTCATTAACCTTTTTTTTTAATATGAAGTGTGTTTTTATTGCAGATATACTATGTTCCACCACTGTTTGTGTGCCTGCTTTGTCTGACCTCCTGTGGTTACCAGCAGCAATTGGGTGACTTGTGACATGCTTCTTTAAAGGGCTTCATCACTCTCATGTTCCATACAGAGATTTGTCAAGTGATAAAAGGTAATTTGTTGTGGGAGATACGTCTGTAATGGGAGTTGTTCTGATTTCTGAACCTGTGAAGTTATATGTTTGAAGTGGTATGCCTTAAGATCCTCACCCTGGAGGTTTTCGTGGAAACCCACTGGGGTTAAAAAAAGGAAGACAGAAACTGAAGATAAGGGAGGATTTCTTTCAAGGAGGGTTTAAGTTCGCAGAATTTGTAGAGCCAGAAAGAAATGTGGTGAATGAGGCTGCGAATGCTGCGTATTATTAAATCGTGAGAATTTTCTATGTCCTCTACATGTTATGAGATTTCATTAAATGGTGGTTTTCAGTCTAATTAATTTGTTACTGGCTGACTTAAAAAAGAACCATATGAATTAGTGCATCTCAGTGTGGCTGGTAAATTTAATCCTCAGTTAGGTGCATTAGAGGTATGGACAGCAACAGAGAATTGCATGTAAATATGTTGCATTATAGATGCCGGTGATTGTGGTTAGAGCAATATGGGGAATGATTAATCTCATCCTTTAGAAGCCATGGCTTGAAATATTGGCCAGATTGGAAACATTAAATAATTCTGTTGGATCAAATCGTCTCTTCATCAGTACCAGCATAAGATCTTGGTAGCTTTGATCTCCAAATCAAGGTGTTTATATTCCATCCCAGTTTTGTTACACAGTCTTATTTTATGGATGAATGGACAGACAGTTTTTCACTTTCACTGAGTCTTTATTTTGTCAGACGTCAGCTTTCCTGATGCGTTACACAGCTCCTTTTTTGCAAACAAATACCTCTGTGTTAGTTAATACAGAAGTCACATTCTGGGTATATTAAATTCTTTTATACATCTATGGGAATTCTTTACACAAACATTGACATTGTTTATACAAACACGGAAATTCTTTTGGATTGCAGTGTGATAAGAAGTCTGTTCTGTTTACCCCAGTGTTCTGCAAACAGGCAGATGAATGTCTTCCAGTATATTTATTCTCAGATTTCTGAGTTTTAACAATGGTGAGATGAATAGGCCATATTTTAAATACTCTGAATGAACAGCAGTTAATTTTTTTTGCCATTTTTAATGTTTCTCTTGTGCTTATGCAATGTTCTCTGGATGGTGCAAAGACGGGAAAACTAAGTGTGTCTCCTCAGAAATACAGGTGAAAGCAGTTTTGTTAATTACGAGTTCTTTCGCACCACCAGTGAGTTGTGACCATTTGTTTCGATTACTGCACGTGTGTGGCTCTGTCCATGGAATTGGTTTACCTGAATATATGGGACAAAAGCTGAGAAAATGTGTTTTCTGTTTTTCAGTGAAGAAACTGGTTTAGGGTTATTTCTTACTTTCACCTGTCTCTTTCATTAGCACTTTGCCATAAAAGAAAAACTTGAAATGTGAAAATTATTTAAATGCAAGTGGTGACACAATCCTACAAATAATATCTTTGGAAATTTTTCACGTTGTCATATGGAACAACAAAATTACTGCAACAAAGAGTGGAGTAGGTATTTTGGTACAGTATTTACTTTGTGGTTTTTTTACTGGACTTTGATATTTCACATTTTTAGGTATGATTAAGATTCCCTTCTTAGTTTGTGGAGTCTTTTTATATAGAAATGAGGGAATTATGAATTCTTTGAAGTAGAAGATGTAAGTACACAAGCTTTATGAATGAGAGGTAGGCACAGGCATGTATGTTTAGTTCACTTTTGAAATTGACTTTTGGTTAGTTCTATAAACAATATTTCTTTCAGTGTTGGATAGACATAATACTAAGTGATGAAGATTAAAGGATCTGTCAGTTCAGGTGAAGGTTTTTATTCAACAGAGAGTTAGTATTAGAGTATTTTAGAAAAAATTACTGTGGTAATTAAAGACTTCCTCTGGAGATGGAAGCTGTGAATGTTTTGTATTAGCAAGTGTTAGAGCACAAGCATTACATCTTACGCGTTGACAGAGGTGGTGACAAATCTTTTAAATATGTTTCTAGTGATGTGGTATTATTCTAAGAAATATGAATTTCTTGATGGGTTAAGAGAAATGCTTTTTTTTTCCTTAATTGACCACTTACCTGTTACCTGTGTGTTGCCTTTGCAGCTGAAAGCTGTAGATCTTCTCATTTAAAGGTGGCTGGCTCTATGAATGAGACGTAAGTAACCCATATGCCTCCCTAGATCAGAACCCGAGGAACATAGTGAGTGACAAGACACCTAGAAATGCAAATTTATATCTTTGTGATGCGCACTGGCTCTTGATGTTGCTTAGTTTGGGAAGGAAAATGATGCAGTTTTCTCTTGGTGATAGTGTGTATTTTTAGTTTTTCCTTTCCTCCAGAGTCACCATCATAGTAGCATAATTCTATCCTCTTGTATGTGTAATATTCAGTTTGTCTATTACATAGCTCATGAAGTCAGTGTTTTCCTGCTTTACAGTGTTTAGCCTTTCTTTCTGCTGATCCATTTCTGCAGCACAAGTCATCTTTAGCCCACATATAGTCATACACTCACTCATTCCTCATAAAATTAAAAAAAAACATGTTCCAAACATTACTTTTGTGATCATAGAATCATAGAATGGCCTAGGCTGGAAGGACCTTAGAGATGATTTTAATCCAGCCTCCCTGCCGCCAGGGACGCCACCTCTCGACTAGATCAGGCAACACATGGGGACCGAACGGGAATCGTACCCACAACCTTGGTGTTCTTAGCGCCATGCTCAACTGACTGAGCTAACCGGCCCCCTAAGCAACATAATTCAGTATAAACAAAAACTTTGAAAACTGCACTTTAAGAATATAACAACCAAAACAGTAAACATTTTAAAGTTAGGCATTACTGTTTACATGTTCCATATCATTATTACTGTTCAGTATCTTCATCAGTGACACACCTGGGGTTGAGTGCACTCTTAGCAAGTTTAGCGATGACACCAAGCTGACTGGTGCAGCTGATGAACTTGAGCAAAGAGATGCCATCCAGAGGGACCTTGACAGGCTTGAGAAGTGGGGATATGTGAACTTCACA